CGAGACCCCGGCCAGGGCTGCCGCCCCCTCCTCCGGCTCCCGCCGTCCCGAGGGCGACGGGCAAAGGTGGCTGTGCGGCGTTCCCGGGGAGCTGGGCGGGTCCAAGCGCGTCCCTTCCCGTTCGGAGTTGCTTGCGGGCAGGGAAAGGGCGCAGCGGGAGGGACGAGGAGCGGCAAAATATCCGCGTAGGAAGGGCCCGGACACGTCTCGGTTTCGTTGATGCGCAAGTGCTCGGCAGCGCTTCGTGTAGGGGTGACACGGGCTGGGTCGTGCGCCCCGAGCACGGAATCCCAGAACGGGTCGGGCCGGGAGCGACCGCGGCGGTCATCCCGAGCCCAGGCAGGGCCCTCCCAGAGCACACGGCACAGGGCCGTGTCCGGCAGTTCCCGAGTGTCTCAGTGAGGGAGACTCCACAACCTCTCTGGGAGATTGTCCCAGTGCTCAGCCACATGCACAGTAAAGAAGTTCTTCCTCGTATTCAGGTGGAACTTCCTGTGTATCAGTTTCTGCCCACTGCCTCTCGTCCCGTTGGTTGGTACCACCAAGGAGAGCCCGAATCCGTCCTCCTGGCACCATCCATCCCTTTAGATACTTGTAGACATTGATGAGTTCCCCTCTCAGTCTCTCCTTGAGGCTGAGCAGGCCCAGCTCCCTCAGCCTTTCCTCACAAGAGAGATGCTCCAATCCCTTAATCGTCTCTCTTGCCATCCACTGGACCTGCTCCAGGAGCCCCATGTCTCTCTTGCTCTGAGGAGCCCAGAACTGGACACTGCACTCCTGATGATGCTCTCCCTGGGAAGCCCAGGATAGCCATGTGCCCCAATGATCTCCCCAGAGCAACGACAGGAATGTGCTTCCTGAGGAGCAGTTTAGGAAACAGGACAAGAATACCATTTAAACAGAGGATGTTTGGACACAGGCTCAAGGAGCCTCTCGAGAACCACTTAAAAAAGTTATACAGATAGATGCAGTTCCAAGACATGACTGCTGATGTTCCATGGTGAATTGAAACTACAAGAGTGTTGATGGAAGAGAGGGATGTGACAGCCAAGAGAGGCACAACATTTTGTGTAAAGTGATTGCTCATGTTTTTCAAATTAGCCAAATTTTGAGAAATCATACAGAATGGAAACAGTGTAATAAGCTTTTAATTAGGCAATTCATAAGATATACTTCAGTGTATAAAAATACTTCTTGTATACAAAATAATGTGTACATGTAAGTAGACAACATGCTGAAACACCAGCACCCACATAACTTCATCACACAAACTGATCATTGACACCAGTATCATGAGAAGCACCAAAATACTAAACAGTTAAGTGCAAAAAATGTTTCTGTGCAGAGTGACATCATCTCCCCAATAAAGAATTTCTTTGCAATGCTTGTCAGGTACTGTTTTCTCTGTGTGCTCTGCTTCGGCAGTTCATTACAGCTGTTTAAAAGCCAGTGTAGTCGTGGTCATCATGATCCTGCACAGCTGTCCCCTCTTAACACACGAGGGATTCCAATAACCCACAATGGAAACAACAGAACCACAACAAAGAACATTAATTTTCTGCAAATTCTCTTCTACTGTCTTTTTAGTCAGAGAACCTTCTGCTATTTTCCCAGTTTAGGGATAAAGTGGTCTTCATCAACGAACAAAACCACTTTGGTGCAGAAGAGATAATGCAGCAAATGGGTCTGTTTATCTCCACTGCTGAGCATGAGTCACTCCACCACTGCAGCTTTCTCTATCGCTTTTCGTGCTTACAGTTGTACAGCAGTGGCTGGTTTTCATTGTCACCAGGGAAGCACAGAAAGATACACAATTTGCCTCCCTCTGAAGTGACTCAAAGAAAAGAGACTTAGAAATAAATATGCTTAAATAGCAGTCAAGACATGAAATAGAGTAGTTCAAATTATTCCCTCCTTTCAGTAGTTTTCACATATATGAATTTGGACTTGCTGCACAACAGCAAGTGTTTTATGCATAAGATAAAACTGTAAAAGAGAAAGATACAATTAGGATCTCTCCACTTTGAATCAAGGTCTTCAGGAAACCCTTTTTAGCTTGCATGATATGCAGAGACCTTACACTTCCTCACAAATTGGTTACATGAATTATACTGTCATTAAAACTATGAGCTTTTGAGGTAGAATTAGAGAAAGTGTGCGACTTTACCTTGGTTTTAATAAACTATTAATCTCTTATACTCCAAGTTTGCATGAACATACTTTAGGAAAAAAATATCTAAAAAACAAGTGGTATAAAAGCTTTTCGATGCTTTGGGTAGGAGCTAAAGTTTTTCTGATAAAACTCATGACACAAAACAGCAGCCAGTGCCTGGTTAAAAAGAACATATATCACTACACACCACCACGTCACATTGTGAATTCCAAGTGTGATGGCCATAGAAACATATATGAGGAGCTCTGCAAAATAATGAGGGCAAGAAACGCTTTCAAACCAGTCTCCGAAAGGCACGCTGTGGCTCAGACTTACAACCTTTCCTGCAAGCAAACAAAGAAATTAATTGGGAAGATGCATTAAACAAACTCTTCACCTCACAATTACAGAACAATATGCTTATTAATCATCATCATCCACCTCCATCTGATCTGGCAGCCTTGCACTTAACGAAATAAGATGCCACCTCTGGCTGTGCAAACACAGAGTACAGAAACCATGTCTATCCTTAAGATGTTAGAAGACAGAGCTTCATTTTAAATTTTACAGAACTATATATACAGACATACCACACCCTCTCCCCCCAGTTTAGCCATCCAAACAGCCTCATTTAATCTACACACTACAGGAACTGAGAAACATTCATGTTTAAGGTATTAGAACCTACAGAAGCCAAAAAAACCACCTAAGTAAATAGTTGACTGAAATGAAACATCTTACCTGATCTGCTTTTTCTAAGATTAGCTAGAATTGCAAGGCATCTATGTTGGTGAAGAGAGGCCCAAATGTACATCATAACTCCTATAATGTGATACCAGCAGATCTGCACAGAAAGCCTTTTTCCTGAATGAAACATGTTTTATTAATATACAACCAGGAAGTGACTTCCTAGGCATCATCCCAAAACACTATATACAGTTTTTTCAAATATTACTGTCTTACAAAATTCTAGTAGTGAGCCTCTGATTCCTTGAAAGATGCTTTTAAATCCTGCTTCATTTAAGTGCTCAGCTAGTAGCTCATTTCTCTTGACTGCTGTATACTAAAATACCTAGTTATTAATCCAGCAGCTTGAAATACAGTGTGATGTACAACGATACATAATTGGTAGTCTAAGACCTCCATATTCAGCACTGTTTGTAATTATTGTTATCCTATTCAAACATGTTATGGCTCATGTCAACATGCAAGCACACAGTTCTCTTCCTCACCATGATACACATAGATACACACACCTACATATCACCCCCTGCCCAACATGGCTCAAAGTGCTTAAAAACTTCACCAAACTTGGTAATGACTGCCTCACAAAAATTAATCACAGGAGGAATGCTACAGCCAGCTGATGGTTCATCTATGCAGGGGATTTAGCAGCTCAGTTGTTAGACCCAATGGAATGTATTGGCAGGAACAAGTCATATAATACAAATTTTTCATGTATTAATGGAAACATTACAGTACCAAGGGAAAGAAGACACTGCCTGAGTCAAGGCAGAGCAGTGGCAACTTTGCCATGGAAGAAAAAGCAGGTGGCTGATTCAGCCTTGCAGATTCACCTTGCAGAAAAGCTTACAACAAAAGAACTCCAGTTTGAGAACTGAAGTTTTGTAGGGGCATTTGAGAACTGGTACCTATTCCTGTCCTTCACAAAGCATATGATCTATATTCTTTCAGCAAATAGCCCTGAAGATTAAGATGAACTATGAAACCATTTGCCACAATGGAAACAAATGAGAGCAAAACTGCATCTTTGATGATAACTAAGCAGGCACTTACCATTCCTGACATTAGTAGGCACTTGACACAGCACAGTTGAGCCAACAGCAATGTAGTAACCAAGTCCAAAGCAATACTGCATGATATGGATGACACCACTGGAAAACACACTGGTCCAGAGGCATTCTGCAAGTCTTCGACAGCTATGCAGCCAAAGGAGCAAGAGAACCAGGAGCGCAGAGAAGTGCTCACTATCTGCTTACGGATAAAAACCAGCAACTTTGATACAGGAATGAACAATTTAACCCTGACAGTTAAATGTTTTCAAAAAGTTTAAGTTTTAAAAAAATCCTGTTGTTCCCTCTTCTCACAGTAGAATTTTACCATCATTTTAAATTAACTGGGAAAAATATTTGTTCAGGTGAGGTAATGCTGACAAGAGAAAGATTTCTTCCAGAAGGTGCTAATGGCCCTTTCTTTTAAAAGGACTGCTGAAAGCCATCATATCTATAAATTAGAAATATTTCTATCTTCAAAGGTACTTGGTGTACCAGGAAAGTCAGTTGGAGGGTAGTTGAAAAGCAATCAATGAAGTAGCACTTAGATATAAATTCAGCACAGCGTTGGTAGTACAGTTTTTTAATATTTATATGGCTAAGTTATAATATCTGGAGTACTTACCCATGTCCTTGCTCTGAGAATCTTTGCCAAGAGCATGGTGCATGTCCCGAATCCATAATGGAAGTGACTCTCCAAGGAACTCAGCTCGAAAAAGACAGATCAGCAGAAAACCATTCCAGAGCACAGAAACCACATAAAAGTGAGTAAACCATCTGTGGGAACAAAGAAAAGGTTTTTCATTAATGTCCTTGGAACTGTAGCTGCAGGGCATGCTTGTCTGATGGTGAGTACATTCCATTTTGGTGCTCACATCAAATATCCAAGTAGAGAACTCAGGACTTCAGTGGGACCAAGCAGGACTAACCTTAACACATTTTACTCCAGTGAAATGTTGCCTGAAATAACATCTAACTTAGCTTACCTTACAAACCATAGCTGCATTAAAGAGGAAACAGTGTAATCTGCACATTGCAAAAGTATTCCTCAAGGCTTACAAATAATCATGGCATACATCGTATTTTCTTTATAATTTGCATCAGTCAAACCACATCCAGGTTCATTTTCTGCTTATTTCCAAGCTGCTCTATCCTCACAGCACTCCCACTTTTCTCAGTTGCAGTGGGTGCATTACATGACATGTTAAAGTTCATTAAAGGAACCCAGAAGGAATTACCCTGTTCTACATTAAAATGTCTTGTCCTTCTGCAAATTCAAGGTCTGCAACAATCATACAGAAAAAAAGCAGCGACCATCAGCACTGCTGGATGATTACAAGACAAGACACATGTTTGGGTTTTTTTAAGAAAACAAAGAACCTC